GCCCCCCCCCCCCCCCCAATCACTCACTGTTGCTGCTGCCCTTCCCCCACGTTGGGGGCTGGGGAGGCGGGGTTGGACTCGGAGGAGCTGGAGCTGGAATCCGAGTCGGACGAGGAGGAAGAGGAGGAGGACGAAGAGGAAGAAGAGGAAGAGGAGGACGAAGAAGAGGACGAGGAGCTGCGCTTGGCCTTGGCGGGCGTCGCCTCGGCGGGGACGGCGCCGTCAGCGGTGGTGGCTCCGGCTGCAGTGGCCGATTGGGTGCCGTCTACGGTGGCCGGCTTGGGGACGTCGGTGGTGGCCGCGGCGGCGGCTACAGGCGGCGCTTCGGTGACGGCGGGGCCGGGTGACGAGCGGCTGACATCCGCCGTGGCGGCGGTTTGGGTGACGGCGGGTGACGGCTGGCTGACCGCTGCGGTTGTGGGAGACGCTGTGGTGACGCCGAGAGGCGACGCGGTGACGGCGGCAGAGCTGGCGGCGGTCAGTGGTGGTGTTGGCGTGGGGACGCCGGTTTTGGGGGTCTCCGTGGCGGGCGGTGGTGACGGCTGGGGTGCCGTGGCTCTGGGTGACACGGGGGTGGTGGTGGCGGTGGGTGCGGGTGACAGCGGGGCGGCGGTGCTGGTGGGAAGCGGTGACGCCTGCGCGGTGTTGCCGGTGGGAAGCGGTGACGTCTGGGCGGCGCTGCCAGCGGAGACGGGTGACGCCTGGGTGACGCTGGCAGCACCCACGGGTGACGGCTGGGCGGCGCTGCCGGCAGACGCAGCTGACATCTGGGTGACGGTGACGCCGGATACAGCCGACGTCTGGGCGGCACTGCCAGCACCCATGGGTGACAGCTGGGCGGCGCTACCGGCAGGCACAGCCGACGCCTGCGCGCCACCGCCAGCACCCATGGGTGACACCTGCGTGCCAGCTGCCGGCTGCGTGACCCCACCAATGGGGGACGGATGGGCACCGCCAGCTACCTCCATTTTGCCTCCCGGTGCCGCCGCGGTGTTGGTTGCCATGCTGGCCGCCATGTTGGCCGCTGCCATATTGGTTGCCGCCATGTTGGCTGCCATGCTGGCCGCCATGTTGGTTGCCGCCATGTTGGTTGCCACCATGTTGGCCGCTGCCATGTTGGCCGCCATGTTGGCCGCCATGTTGGTTGCCGCCATGTTGGTTGCTGCCATGTTGGCTGCCAGGGCCACCCTGGCGGCGTCGGGCCCCAGCGACGCGGGCGACGCGGCCATGGGGACGGGCGACGCCGGCAGCGGTCGCGGCGTCACTTTGCCATGCATTGCCGAAGCCACCGGGGAGGAAGGCAACCCCAGCAGCTTGGCGGCCGCCAGCGCCCGCGGCAGGCCCGGTGGCGGCGGCGGCGGCGTCATCATTTTCGGCGTCGCTTTGGGGAGGATGGGGGAAGGTTTGGCGGGCGGTAGGTGAGTCACCATCTGTGCCGTCACCATCTGTGCCATCACCACCTGTGCCGTCACCATCTGCGGGGTCACGGCCATCAGCGGGACGGGTTTGGGGAGGGCGGGCGGTGCGGATTTGGGGTTGGGGGACGGCGACGGCGAGGCCGGCGTGGCGTCGTTGGGTGCTGCCAACGCTCTGGGCTGCGGTTTGGCGTCGGCGATGCTCTGCGGGGTCGCCGGCACCTTTTGCGGCTCGGTGGGGACGCCGGGTGTGGCGGCTCTGGTGTCCGACGGTGCTTTGGGGGCGGTCGGTGGTGGTGGTGTTGCCGTGTCCGTGCCGCCGGCCTTGGGGACGGGCTGCTGCGGCGTCGGCGGCGCGGCGTTGGCCTTCAGGATGGGCTGCGGCGTCACCGGTTTGGCCTCCGTGGTGGTTTTGGGGACGGCCTGCTGCGGTGGCGTCGCCGCCGCCGGTGCGGTGTTGTTGGCGGCCTTGGGGACGGTTTGTTGCGGCGGCGCCGCCGCCACCGGCGCGGTGTTGGTGGTGGCTTTGGGGACGGGCTGCTGTTGCGGCGTCACCGGCGTGGCGGCCCTTGGGAGGGGCTGTTGTGGTGGCGGCGTCACCGGCGTGGCGTTGGCGGCGGGCCTTGGGACGGGCTGTTGTGGTGGTGGTGGTGTCAGCGGCGCGGCGCTGGCTGCGCCTTTAGGGATGGGCTGTTGTGGCGGCGTTGGGGTCGCCGGCGCGGTGTTGGCGGTGGCCTTGGGGACGCTCTGCGGTGTCACCGTCACGCCGCTGGCTCTGGGGCTGCCGTGTGGCACCGGCGTGGTGCCGGCGGTGGTTTTGGTGCTGCTCTGTGGTGGTTCGGTTGCCGGCTTCACGTCGGTGCCGGTCGTGGCGACGCTCGGCGCCGCGGCTTTGGGGAGCTGCTGCTGTGGCAGCGCCGGTTTCGTTTCGTTGCTCAGCGTGGCTGCCGGCGGTTTCACGTCAGCGGCGGCTTTGGGGGCGCTCGGTGTCACCGTTGTCACCGGTTTGGCCTCACTGGTGTTTGTGGTGACGGCCGGTGATGTCGCCGTCACCGCTTTGGCGTCGGTTTTGGTGACCGTCGGTGACGTCGTGGTCACCGGTTTGACGTCAGCAGCTGTGCTGGCAGCGGTCGGTGACGTTGCCGGCGCCGGTT